GATTCCCTCATGTTTGTCAGATCTTGCTGATCTTAAGGAGACAAGAAATGAATGTGGTATTCTATGTGTGATCTCACCTGAATCATCACAAAGCCATTTTTGATACCTATCTTATTGGAAGTCAGTGGAAACTGTAGGTACACAACATGCCTGAAGATCGGGCCACTTTTATTATGGTGGGTGTTGGTCCTTTGCCAGAATTATTGGGGTATCTCTCACTTAATCATTTCCCTGCCATTTGTGGGGGCCTTGGACCTTGGTGTACCTCAGTCCCTCTTATTCTCTGTTTGTGGCACATAATAGTCTAGTCTTCTGTGGGCTGTCAGACTTCGGTTTAATTTTAGTTGTTGGGCTAATGTGTGGGTGCTCGGTGGTGTTGGTGGCCTGTAATATGAAGCAGGTCAGACTAGATGATCTAGTGGTCCCTTGTGGCCTTAAAGTCCATGACTGCATTAGGCTCCTAAATCCAGATTTTAGTTTCTAAATTTTAGGAACCCAGGTTTAAAAATGTTGGCCAGAATAAGCATAATATTCTTCAAAGCTGTCATGAAAAAAGACTATATTGGGGGGAAGGGAATTATTTTTGAAATTCTCAAAATGGGGAGACTCCAACCCAAATCACTATTGCTGGTCTTTATGGTACTATTCTATGTAAGTTAAAAAGTAGACCTGTTCCTCTAAAGCTCTCTGACATACAGGATATAGTTGACACTGCCAACTATCTTCCAGCTCTGGCAGCTGTTCAGTCAGCAGTGAAGGCTTTGAATCTTTTAAAGGATTGGAGAACTTCTCTAGACTGAAAATAGGTCATGTTTTAAAAGCTAATACTTTTTAATCAACACAGTTTTAAACAGGACTTTGCAACCAGTGTAGACAGGGCAAGTCATATTTAAAGCCTTCCTTTTTTAGGAGGAAAATGATCCAAGTTTTGTAAGCCCTTTGGGGCAGAGACTGTCTTGTTCTGTGTTTGTACAGCACCTAGCACAATGGAGTGCTGGTTAAGACTAGGGCTCCTCAGTGCTACAGTAATTCAAATAGTTATTAATAATAATAGATTCTTTTGTGTTACAAGAAAACTCGGGTTGCAGCATGCTCTTTCCTGTATTTTCCTCTTCCCACCTTCTCCTAGGTTACATCTAACACCTACAAGCTAGGTTTAGTGCTGCAATAAGTAGAACAAGAGTGGTGTCTGTCTATCTATGTAAAACTTCAATTACTGAACCTTAAAATACCTTTGGTCACACTTCAGTTGCTAAAGGTTGGGGTTTTGTGACTATTTACCTGAAATGTCTGAAATTTCTTTCCTGAAACAGGAGTGTGATAGTAACCAGCAGGTTGCTATGCAGTGTTCTTATACTGTCCTGTTGTGGGAGAGCAGGAATTTTTTGTTTTGTTTTTGTTCCTAATAAGTCAAATTCCCTTATTGGAGTTAAATTTTGTGACCCTTGTCAGTGCGCATTTAGATTTCCAGGAGAAGATATACTTTATTAACAAGCTTTAGAGGAAGGTTCAGTGTCTCCGTATATTGCCTATAGTACTGAGATATTGTAACCATGCTAAACTAATAGCTATGAATGACTTTCTCAGCTAAATACTGAGGGAGCACAGATGGAAAACAGCTATCAAAATAAACATATTTTAATAAAATCTAGTATTTCTGAAAACAGTTTTATACATGTGAAGCAATATGCCCTCACAATTCTAACTACATAAAGGTTCATATAAATAGACAAGTGTATAGAAGTATGTGCTTCCAATACTTCACTGTTGATACAGGGAAATGATTTCACATAAAACATATGGCCCTTGTAGTGTTCATATAAACCAATATTGCCTAGATCCTATGGCTCTCAAGCAAGGGTCTGACCCACTTGTGAGCAAGTATCATATTATCATAAGATGGTCATGTGCCTAGGCTGTCCAAAGACCAGGCATGTGTGTCAAGTGTGGTTGTTGAGAGCTCCCAGTGAAGAATATTCAAATAACTTATGGTTAAGGGATATGCCATCACTAATCCTTCTCTGAGCATTAATAAACAAAAACAAAAAACAACACCTTGAAGGCACCTGAGAGCTTTTGGGCCATGCTAACTGAGTAGAATGAAGAAGAAAATGACAAGATGGTCATTAAAGAACTTCCAAACCCCTAGCCAATGTTTTGTTGAATTAATCAATAGGGGAGCAGAAACTTGTATTAGTTTCAGCCTCACCAAGACGTGCATAACATTTAGCTAGTCTTTTTGGAATGAGGGATGTGTCTGGCAATAATAAATAATTATAAATGTATGACTTTTGGGAAACTAAATGAGAAGGCAACAATACTGCAAATGGTTTCATTAAGTGCCAATGCTTCTTAGAATAACTGTCAGTCTTGTCTGTAATGTAACGTAAAATCTTTCTTATTTCTGTCAGATGTATTTAAAGTTAAATGTTGTTAAATATAGTTTGAATTTTCCAAGCAGCAGTCTATACCCTGGAGTTCCAACAATGCAATCATCACCTTTTTGGCCCAACTGGATTGGCCAAGATTCCTTCCAGAGTTACCATTATTCTTTAGTTATCCAGAGGGATCCCTGGGAAGGGGAAGGGGTTTCATACACCATTCAAAACTCGTACTTCTGACCAGTTTAATATTGGTTTTCACATGTTTCAAAGAGGTTAACTGCAGTCATCTTTGGCCAAAAAGAGAGTGGCTGTGATGCAGAGACTTGAAGGTAAAGACTTAAGTGGACAAATAAGGTCAGGAGTAGAATTGGTCAGAAATTTTCAGATGAAACAGAGTTTTGTTGGAAAATGCCAGTTTGTTGAAACCAAAATGTTTCGCAATAACATCTTGGGTTTGATGAATTTTTGGGGAATCAAATGCTGGGTTATGATTGAACCTTGATGAAACCCTGCCAGCTCATCAAGCTGCTAGATCTTCCAGGATCTGTGGCTCTGAGGCAGCCTCAAGGCCAGAAATCCCAGTCTTCCAGGGTCTGCAACTCCATAGAAGGCAGCCACGCCAGAGCTTCCAGACTCCATGCCATGGAACTGGGAGTCTGAAAGCCAAGGGAGCTCTGACTTTAACATTGACTCAGCTCCCAACCTGGCAAAAGGGAGTCAGGAAGTGCTAAGAGCCCAAGTTGATCTGGGGATCTAAGGACTTACATACTTCCTGCCATGGATCTAGTACCCTAGAAGTCCTGGGATAAGCTCCCAGGATCTGTAGTTCCTGGGCATCCCTGCTTTGCGGACTGCCCTGGGGCAAGAAGTCCAGGGCTTCCAACTCTTAGGCAAGCAGCTATGAAACTGACAATAATATCAGTTTTGCTCAGCAGGTGTTAAGGTACGGGTAGGGTGACCAGATGTCCTGATTTTATTGGGACAAGTCCTGATATTTGTGGCTTTTTCTTATATAGGTGCCTATTACCCTTGCAATCTGGTCACCCTAGGTGCAGGGAACAGACTTCCTATTGGAAAGACGATGTGTCATTGTTTCCAAAAAGATATTTTTCAGGATTTCCAGTTCACAGGAAATTTAATATTTGTTTTGATTAATTCTGATTCAGAACAATACCAACTTTCAAAACAGTAAAATTTCCTGTGAACCAAAAATCCCACATGTCTGCCAGCTCTAATCAGGAGAGAGAACATCAAAACACCTGATGGGATAGATGACCACATGGGATAGGTGGTTATGAATTAAAATATGGGAAAGGAAGGAATAGATCACTTTAAAAGAGAACTGTGTGAAGTTCAAGTAATTTATAAGGTCAGAATTTCCTAGCAAGTAGTGTCCTTCGGCAGTGCATGTAAACTTTACCTATGTTCTTGCCTTTCTTTCCCCCAGGATAGTTCTTGGTGTGCTACCTTATATATCATTCAGTTCTTTATTATTGCCATAATGAGCTGGAATTAATGCCCATCAGTTCCTCAAGGTGCCCTTCTGGTAACTGGAGATTATCAGGATGTGGAGATTCTCTGGCTGTGCCCCTTTTTTCCCAGCCATGCCGTCCCAGTGCAGCAGCTGGGAAGAGAATTGGTGTAGGAGCTTTTACAATGGCTTTACTCCAAATGAGGATTCATCTGTAGAAAACCTCTGGGGAGGGGGAGCAAATCTAATGGCTTTATAACTGCCTTACACCACTCTAGCATTTCCCAAGATCTGGCCAAATGTGTGTATAGTTACAGTAGGCCTGATTCTCCTCTCACAGATTCCTCATTTTCCCCAGTGTAGCTCCATTGAAATTAAGGGACTTACACCAGTGTAAAATCAATGTGGGGGAGAATTAGGGCCTGTGACTGGTATGCTGACATCTTTATAATATTGTAATTAATCTTTACAATGAATTGAATTTGCAGTTTTCACAGGATGTGGATTAAACTGCTTTTCTTTATTTAAAAAGGTCTGATACTGCAATGTATCTTCACCTCCAACTATCCTTTAACTATCTGGTGTTTTCCCCCTATCAGTGAACTGGCCACATAGAGACCAGCATGTGTCCTCCAGAGAAAGTGGAATGTATCAGCAGCTGACAAAACAAATGGCTGGCTTGAAGTGGAGAGGGCCAGCATTCAATACAATATGCTTCAGCAAAGTTGAAAGTTCAGTTGAAATAGGACAGATAATATAGTCAGTGGACCAGATTCATCTCTAGGTAGACTTCAATAGGGATGAATTTAGCCCCGTAGGGTTTTTTTTTAAACAATATGGCCTTTGTTTTGCCAGATTTAGACTTAGTATAATGTTTAATTTACAGATATAATACTAATATATATGAAATTTTGCTAAGTGTGTGGGAGAGTGGAACCATTGAGGTGGCTTAATTTGGGCATATTTTATTATTTTGAAACAACCGGTGGTATTGTCCTTATTTGAAGTACAGTAGCTGAAGTAATTATTATGCTACAATGTCATTTTTCTAACTTGTTTTCTTAACTCCTGTGGATTAAAATGACCGTAAGAGTAAAACTGTTTTTCCTAGTGTACATAATCACCACTGATTCTTTGATTGTCAGATTCCAGCATTGAAAGAAAAAGATACAAAAAAAAAGGAGACAGTGAAAAGTGGAAGTGAAATTACAGTGCCTCATGAGAGCAGAGAATCACAAAAGGGATATCACAAGCAGCAACAGAAGAAGAGTCCTAGTTATAAGGTGTTGTTTTTATTATTAAAATCCAACAAATTCTCTGTAAATATTTTATGTAGATTTCTTGTCCTTTGATACCAGTCTATGGACTATTCAGAACCATTGCTTGTTAAACCTTTTAGTTACTATGGTAAAAATAATAATTTGCATTTCTATAGTGACTTTCATTCAAGGATTTTGCACCATTTTACAGACATTCATTAATCTCCTGTGAGAGAAGTATTCTTATATTTGTACTACAGATGGAAAAAATGAGGCACAGAAGGCCTAAAATACAAGTTACAAAAAGAATCAGCAATAGAGCTGAGAACCATGAATTCAGTTCTATGTTCTAATCACTAGACTGTACACTCTCTACCGAAAGGCATGGTCCTTGCCCATAAGAATTTATAATCAAAGGTCTTGATCCTGCTTCCATTCAAGGCAGCAGAAATTTTGCCATTGATATCAGTAGGATTGGCCTTAGACAAATATGATATACATGACAAAAGTTAAGCTTTACTTGTCTGTGCTGCCATCTTTATTATATAGCCCTCCAAAAAGCTGTGACATTGTAATGATTCTCAGTCACTCCAGACCTGGGTTGGCTTTGAAACAATGACTAGCGTTAAAAGGTTTTGTACTCTGTTATTAATTCCTTTAAACATCTAGTTTCCCTACCCTAACAGCCAAAACTAGAAGTATCGCTACCAAGAGTAAAACTTAGTATTTTTTTGCATAATAAGCATAGAAAATAAATAATACATGACTTAACTTTTTGCAATATATTTTGCACTTGAGAAGGAAGCAGAAAAAAGAGCATTACTTGCTGAAATTGAGAAGCTGAAGATATCTGAAGATCAAGAGAAGCAACACATACAAAGGTATTGGTCAGAATTTTTAAGACATTCATTTAACTCTATAAATATTTTAACATTTTGTGGTTTTTTTTATTTCAGTCTTAAAAACGAAGTTGAACAAATTAACCGAAGCTGGGCAAAGAAATTCCAAATTCTAAAGAAAAGGTATAATGGTATTATAATATTGTCCATATTCATAGAAATAGCTCATGTCTATAATTTTGCAAACTATATAAGGAAATATTAAGGGTATAGATATTTTGTAGATACAGTATTACTACAATGCAATCACTCAAGCATTTGCCTAGCTTGGTGTAGTATGCAAATGAGCAGAATCTGATCATAAGAAATGAGTCACTTGTTGGATAATATACCGTTGATCTGGTTGTAGCAATAATACACTCTTCAGGGGCAGGCACATTTGTATGATTAGTTTAACATTTATCAAGACTGTGGACAGAACACTGAAAATGTAATAATATATCTTTTTTTCTATCTTTAAAGTTGTTGCCATTAAAATACCAACATTTACTACCAGTTACCCCACTACTTTATTTAAAATGTTATTTTCTATTCTAAGTATAAAGAAATGCTGCTGAATTTTAAATGTCCCAGTGAAATGATACCAGTGTAAAGAAAGTGAATGGCATATAATATGGAGAAAAAATTCAAAATGATTCACACACAAATCTTTTAATGACAGAACTGATGGTCATGCTTTTAATGTACAGTTTTGAAAAAATTACCTCTGTGATATGCATAATGAATATAGCAACAGAGAGTCCTGTGGCACCTTTAAGACTAACAGATGTATTGGAGCATAAACTTTCATGGGTGAATGCCCACTTCAATGCATCCGACGAAGTGGGCATTCACCCACAAAAGCTTATGCTCCAATACATCTGTTAGTCTTAAAGGTGCCACAGGACTCTCTGTTGCTTTTTACAGATCCAGACGAACACGGCTACCCCTCTGATAATGAATATATTAGATGCTGTGTATGTGTAATCACTTGGGTTATGGTGTAATTGAAAAAAATAATTAAAAAGTAGATAAATTTACCAAGTTACCACCTATCTGTTATCTGGCACAGGATCTCAGAATGAACTCAAGAATGCTGATTTCTTTTAAGCCTATTAAATACATTACATGAAACTGTTGGCTGTTCATCCCAATTAAGTGAATTTGCCTAGTAATCTTACCCATATTAATTAATTCTGTTTGTTTTTTTCATTGAAGGAAACTACTATTTTTTCATGTTTCCAATATTCATAAGATTACATATACACAGAATATTATATAATAAATACATTATGCATGTCATAGAAGTAATTTTAAAATTTCATGTAAAGATTATCATTATTTTGTCAGTAACACATTTGAGTCTACACTATTTTAAGAATTCTTCCTATGCTCACATGTCATTCACTTCAGCGCATTGATCCTCTGATCCAAACTCATTTACACAAAGGGTTGGTGAGTGGTTTTTTGTTAAAGCCCTTTTATATCATGCTACAATGGGCCTCTATATTATTAATATTTTCCTCCTTTTTCTATTTCTTTTCTCTCCCCTCTCTACTGTTCTCCTTTTCCAGTTTTCTTCCTTTATTTTCATTTCCTTTCAGACCTCTTAGATCAGGGGTGGGCAAACTTTTTGGCCTGAGGGCCACATCGGGGTTGCGCAACTGTACGGCGGACCGGGTAGGGAAGGCTGTGCCTCCCCAAACAGCCTGGCCCCCACCCCCTATCCGCCCCCTACCACTTCCCGCCCCCAACTGTCCCCCTCAGAACCCCCAACCCATCCAACCCTCCTGCTCCCTGTCCCCTGACTGGGGAGCCTGCTAAAATTAGAGGTGAATGTGTGGTTTTGTACATATCTAATCACTGTAACACCATAAAAATAGATTCATTTTGACAGATATTCTGTTTACAGAGAGGTACATAACCAGAATACAGGAAAAATCTTGTTTTGCCTCCGTTTTTCTGATATTTTATGGAAGCACTGTGCGTAATAAACTGTCTTTTTTTTTTCATAAAAATTTGACTACTAGAGTTTGGCAGGAAATGGTTTTCCCATCACATTAATATTTTCAAGAGTTCAAATTTTTCCCCACCTTGAATCTGGATCAAAATTTGAAATCTTGAAAATTCATGTGAAACAGAAAACCAATTCTTTTTGGGAGGCTGGAGGGTAGTTAAAACAAAACCTTTCATTTTGATAATTTCAGAACTTTTCATTTTGATTTTGACTTATTTGAAAAACTTTAATTTGGTTTAATTAGCTTACATTTCAAAACAAAAATCAGAAACCAGATTTTTTCATTTTGACAGTTTAGGAACTTTTTTCTTGATTTTTTTTTAAGTCAAACGTGATAGCTTCAATTTTGACAAACTGGCAGTTTTTGAAAAAAACAGATTCATTACGAAATTTCTGACCTGCTGTAGTGACTACCTGAAGAGCACACAGACTTGAGTTTGCGTTTAATCCTTATGTTATTTTTATAAATTATATTTTTTCTTTATTATTCTCATGTTTCTATTGCATATAAATGTAAAATATGAGAGCCCTCTTGTGGCGAAAATAATACCTGTCAATTTTATAGATATTGATCAGACTGTGTGGCCTAGTGGATAAAGTGCCTGCCAAATATTTAGACTATATTGCATGTAAGCCCTTTTAAATTTATGCTTTTTATTCTTTTTTTCAGCTTTTTCCATCAATTAAATTAAAAATTAATTCTTGACAGTTTTTCTTTTTAAGTGACTTTAGTGCTCATGAAAGTTACTGCTTTGAGAGTACAAGAGATCAAAGTCCTCTGTTCATTTACAGACATAAGTAGAGGACAGCAAGGCAAACTCACACTTTTGGCCTTTCTTCTAAGACTGCCATGAATGGTGCTAGTTAGCATCAACTGTGACGGTGGTTTTTGCGATGTGGACACTTGTACGCTAGGAACTCTATTAAGACTAACAATTTATTTCATATAGGCTACCAAATAGCTGTTAGATAGAATTGTCTTTCAGCCACTAGTGATCTGGGGCTAGACTCTGACTGGTGATTTTGGAACAGAAGATTGTATGGGCTAGATTGACAAAGGGATTTAGGTCCCTAGAAAATCGCTGGGAGTCACAAAGCTTGAGCTAGGCACTCAAGCTACCTATACAATGGAAGGGAGGGAGACACCTAAGACCGGGATTCACAAAAAACAGCATGCTAGATGGAGAGCCATCTAAACTAACCAATGGGAGATGCCAAGCAGAGGGGTATGCCCTCAGCCACACCCATCTCAGGGAGTTTGGTGCCTATCGCTGCTTGGAATTCAGCTGTGAACTCTCTCCTGAAGTCAGGTGCTGCTGGGGCCAGGGAGGAAGGGAGGTACGGAGGAGCTGCATCATAACTTTTAGCCCAGCAATCAGGGCACTCATGTGGGATGTGGGAGACCCCTGGATCCAGTCCCCCCCTCTGCCTGAGGAGAAGGGATTTGAACAGGAATCTTCCATTTCTCCGGTGAATGCTCTAACCACTGAGTTCCTTCATTCTCTCCTGGTGAATCTGCTCCACTGTGGATAAATAATTAGAGTCATTAGGGGGCTGGAACCTGGGTCTCCTGCATGCTGGGTGAGTGCCATTCTCTTGTTTGTTTGTTTGTTTGTCTCTCTCTCTCCCTCCCTCACCCCCAATGACTCTAAATATTTATACACAGTAAAATAGTTTCAACTGGAGATATTGAGGGAGCCCCATATCAGAATATCCCATGGCACAGTGGTTAGGGCACTCACCTGAGAAGTAACAAATCCCTTCTCCCCTTCAGGCAGAGGGGGGGACTTAAACAGGAGTCTGCCACATCCCAGGTGAGTCCCCTAACCACTGGGCTAAAAGTTATGAGGGAGGTCCTTCTCCCCTCAAACCCCCAACAATTTGTGTGCAGGGCCCAATCCAATAAGCATAATTAGATCACAACTACTGGATTGAGCCCCACAGGAGAGTTGAGCAGAAGAATGCTATCTTCCCCTGGTTTTTGCATCGCACTTGGCCTTAGCAGTCTGGATGTCTAGACTGGAGCAGCAGTGTGTATGCCCAGAGGGAGGAACATAGACAACTAGGGAACTTTTACTGCAAAAATTTAGGTGCCTTCAGGATTCAGCAGCAGCTGAGCAGGTATTTGTGAATATCAGTGGTGCCTGATTCTGGGATTTAGCTGCCTAAAGTGGCAGGTGCCAGCTCCTTTGTGAGTCTAGCCTTATAGCTCATTACTAATCACCTGAGACATACAGTGCAAAAAAAAAAAAATCTAAACCAAAACATTTCACGTATAAGAAAAGACAAATTAAACTACTGGGTAATTTTAATAATCTAAACTTGTAATTTGAAACATCAGAAAAACAAACAACCAGTTACTTTATATTCAGAAAAGGTTAAATATTTAAATAGTTAAATGAGACAAGACACAATTTATGGCTAACTTGAACCACCTCACTCTGTCATATTTCAGAGTTCCTATTTGTGGTTTTATAAAGCTTAGCAAAAAGTGATCAAGTTAGCACTGCTTGTGTCTTGTTTAATTTGCTCATTTAACATTACTGTTCTAATAGATCTACCATGCCCTCATAATGGATGAGACAATATTTACATTTCTCCTGCTAATAATGGCAGTTATCTGTCCAGTCAAACTCCACAACTGGTCAGATATGAGGGACCACGTCTGACTGGATTTCATTCTTGATATGGTGGAAATCAAATATTTTAGCAGCTGTGAGATTCTGCCTGAAGATTTCCACAGTTCTAAAAAGAAAGCCAATAAAAAGCTGGTAATTCTAAATTAATCTGTGACCAAAAGCTTCCAGTGGTGCCACTCTTTATCTAGTTTGGAATTGTTACCTTTAATAATGCTCTATGGAAATTGACATAAGCTCCCCAAATTAGCAAAACAGGTGCCACCTTTTTAGCAAGTTCAATAAACACATCTGGAAAGACCACGGACTCCTTAAAAGTGCCAAGTTTATAGTGTAATTAACAGTCATTCTAACCACCTTGAATTGTGTTTCTGGTGCTTGGTCTAATTGGATACATCTGCACTGCAATGTAAGCCCATGGTTAGTAGAACTTCAGTTAGCAGACTCTGGTTTTGTTAACTTAGGACTTGAGCATCTACACTCATTTGTAACCCCAGGAATCATTGAACCCTGGGTCCCAACATGGGGCACCAGGGTCTACACTGCACTATGTAGGCCTGAGTCCAACCCCCCCATATCCCAGACTTCCTAACACCCTCCCTAAATGAAGACACTCTAGCCCTTTGTGGTGCAGTATGGGAAAACTTGACTGTCCACCAAATGTGATTGTCCAGAGGACAAAGAAAGTCAACCCATCGAATACTTTTGGCAGACCCCCAGAGTACGATCTCTGAACAGACAATTTCTGGTTGGACCACCACCTGCATTATAACGGCATATGGGATAGCTCAGACCACACCACCACATGTCCACAGAGATTGGTGGCTCATTCAATGAGGGCCCAAGTGGCTTTGTCCACATTACTCAGTGATGTTTCTGTATTGGATATTTTCAGGGCTACTACCTGGTCTTCAGTGCATATTTTTACCAAACACTATGCTCATAGGTGCTGGAACAAGGAGTGCGGGGGGTGCTGCAGCAATCCCTGGCTTGAAATGGTTTCCATTATATATAGGGTTTACAGTTTGGTTCAATGGCTTTCAGCACCCCCACTATAAAAATTGTTCCAGCACCCCTGACTATGCTATTACAACTGTTGTTGTTTTTGGAGATGTGGGTAGAGAAGTGTATTCCAGGGTCCACCCTTCATTCCCTCTGGTTGCCTGATCTGTTGATTGTATATTGATTATATTAGCGATGTAGTTTCCCCAGTTAGCACTCTGAAATTTGGTAGGTTATTGCCCCAAGATCAGGCCCTGTATTACCAGAATTACTGTTCAGTTGGGAGCCCTGATGTTCACAGTTGCAACACTCACACTTAGGAAATCACACTATATTTATAATAATTTGTTTTTAATACAGTTAGCAAATTCACAAACACTCAAACCCAGCATAGCAAATAGAAATGATGCGGAGTGAGCTGAGTATCCATATACTTACCCCATACCTTGCAAAACAACCTGGACTGTTAGTTATTTTCCTCATCTTCCCCCTCACCATCATCAGTAGTCACCATCCTGGCATCTCTCCAGGCACACAGGCCAGGATACAGCTGTTATAATGTGTTATACTGACAATACTATACCTAATGCATGTTCAGTAGGAGTTTCAGTGCCTTTTTCTTATTTGTAATTCTTCATCCTACTCATGTTGGGATGCTCTTCTCCCAGGGGTTATTAATCCTTTTACCTCAAGCTTATTAGAACATATGTCAATTAGTTACCATGTCATTCTTGTAACCAGACATCTGCTGATGTCCTTAACTAAAAATATCCCAAACTGGTATAAATTAGCATCTTGGGATTACCTATCAGCAGTTTGCAACACTTGTGATTTTGCAAAACAATAAACAAAGTTTTGTGTCATCTTGTGACTTAAGGTCATTGTTAGTTTACTTACTTATACTAACTTTTTTAGCAACTACTCTTACTCAAGCTGTAAGGCCTTATACTATGGTAACTGCTTAAGCCATTCTTATAGTTCTATGCCTATAGGTCTCATACATTTCTGCTATCAGTTCCTTATGCCTTTTTCCTTTAATTATCATTATACAGTAAGTATTGCATGGCTATATACCCACTGCATGTGTAACACTCTGCATCAGAACTTCAGTTCTTCAGTGGGAAGGAGTTGAGGGGGGCACTGCCCCTTGGGAGGGGCTACGAGATAAAATTACAATAATTTTATAAAGGTTGATTTTTAAAGCTGTGAATGTGTTCTGTTCCTCAAGGATTTTTCAACTCCACAGAGTATGGTATTCAGGGCTGGTGCAACCATTTAGGTGACCTAGGCGGTCGCCTAGGGCACTAGGATTTGGGTGGCGCCATTTTCTTCGGCAGCGACCGCAGCAGCCGGATCTTCGGCCGCCCCGGTCACCACCGGCATTTAGTCAGAGGGAGCTGGGGCAATGGAGCGCGGGGAGGGCCGCCTGCAGCAAGGGGGGGGCGGCAAGCAGGGGAACTCCCCGCCCCAGCTCACCCCTGCCCCACCTCCTCCCTGAGCACGCCGTGGCTGCTTCACTTCTCCCGCCTCCCAGGCTGGCGGCGCCAATCAGCTTAGGCGCTGCAAGCCTGGGAGGCGGGAGAAGTGAAGCAGCCACGGCGCGCTCAGGGAGGAGGTGGGGCAGGGTGGACATGGGGCTCGTGTGACCCCA